CACCGGCGAGCAGCCTCGGCTGCGGCGTCCGCAGCACCTCAGCGGCTGTTTTGCAACGGCTGAGCACAGGCGTGGGCGGGCCAGGGAGCCGTGGAGTTCTGTGCAGTCGCGGGCTCCCAGGGAGCGGACTAGGGAAACTTGAAGGCTACGACCAGGTGCACCGACCTCTCTCCTCCCTCCTCTCCTCGCCGTTGCCTTAGGGCCTCCCCTCCCTCTGGCCGCCACACACACCTCCCCTTCTCTGCCCGTCGGACCTCAGGTGCCTGGGAGGTGCTCCACTCCTCCCCCTGGGCCGAGCGTTGAGAGTAACACCGCCCCCTTCCCCCGCCCTTTCCTGCCCTGGATCTCCGCCGCCACCTCCGTCTCGCGGCTGCCAGGCGGGGGGCTAGGACGAGTCCGGAGTGTCTGGGTGAGGAGGAACTTTCTATCTTTAGGGTAGCTTGGGGGCTCCCCGCTTCCCTCCGACCCCTCCTTTCCTGGCGACAGTTCCTTTTCCGTGCACCTGTGAGGAGAGCGTGCCCTGCGCTTGGAACCTGCGAGAGTGTGGGGGAGGAGGGAACCTGTTCCCGGGCCTCTTGAACCCGCCTTGGCTCAGAACCCAGCTCCTCGGGCCGCAGGGAAGCGGGTGGCTCATAGTGGGGTCCCTGTAGGAACTTATTTGACGGACAATAGCTACTCCCCTCTTTCCCCCCCAAACCCCAAAACAAAACCTAGCCGATTTAACATTGATCTAATCTTCCAATAGGGTTTGGCGTTGTTGTCAGCCTCGGGGAGAGAGATTGGACAAATATTCTCCAAGAGGAGGAGGGCGACGCCAAGGACTTTCCACATCAACTGCTTTTGGGGTTTCTCCACAACTTGGAAGAGTGACCCTTCTCGTTTTGCGTTCCGTCTGTGTGCTTAATACTCGTGCAGCGACTGCTGTCCCAGAGTAGCTCCGAGTTGTCCTCGTGAACTAGCAATGGCTAGTGAAGACAATAATGTCCCTTCCCCGCCACCAACAGGTGATGACGGGGGAGGTGGAGGGAAAGAAGAAACCCCTGTTGAAGGGGGTGCCTTGTCCCTGAAACCAGGGCTCCCCATCAGGGGCATCAGAATGAAATTCGCCGTGTTGACTGGGTTGGTTGAAGTTGGAGAAGTATCCAATAGGGATATTGTAGAAACTGTCTTTAACCTGGTAAGTAGATCTGTTTTACAAGCCTGTATTCTCAGTGGGTTGGGGAACAAGACGTTAAAGCTGGAGCCATGTGCTTTCCCCAGGCTGATGATAGAAACACGAAATTCTCCTGACCTAAATGAAACAATTTCCTGTACTTTTCAGTTTAAGGAGAATTATGTAAACTTAGGTGCTCCAGGTTTTCTGAAAGTGTACTAAGGAAATAATTGTTGCTATGGAAGTATTATGGGGGGTTTTACTGGGGGAGTTTTATAATTTTTTTCCCCTTGGGTTGTGTCTCTAACCCTGCATTTCTCTGACATTTTAACTAAGTTTTTGTGACCTTTTTTTGGACTTGAGAAATAAGGTAAATGGTAGTCCTACCTACTTTTTTTGATTCTGCCATAATTATTTATTTTGTTTGGGGGGTAACTAGATTTATTAATTTATTTTAATAGAGATACTGGGGTTGAACCCAGAAATGCCCCATGCTAAGCATGCACCCTACCACTGAGCTATACCCACCCACCCTAAGTCTGCCTGAGTCACGTTTTGCCATGTTTTTGAACCGAAAATCTTTGTTTATAGGACTGATGAAAGGTTAATACACTGCGAAGTTAGCATTTGTATTTAATTTTGACTAGTTTTGTTTTTTTGACATAACTAACAAAAGTTAAGTTTTGGAATGAATGTGAGGTTACATCTTGTGAAAATTGAGTGGCAATTTAAAAAGAGGATTGCAGCAGAAATACTACAGTCTTTATTTTGTTTTGTGAGTTCATGTTTATCAGCAAAGTGTGTTTGTCATTGGAGGTTGCTGGTTATACTACTACAAGCTATGAATTTTATTTTTAAAAGGTGGATATAAAATACTTCCTTTTTTCCCTATTCCAGTCTTAGAAACGGTTATTTCTAATGGGGGCTTTTTAGGCTTCTGTATTCAAATCTCTTGCCCATCAAAGTAAAGAATAAAAAGTAAAATTTGGCCTTAAGATACTTCCCCCTTTTCCACCTACTCACCTGTATTAGAAGATAACAGATGGGAACAAAAATGAATGCACAGTAGTTTTAGTAACTGTTTAGCACCTTTCCCCTTTGCCTCTATGTTTTCAAGGTGAGACTTATTTTATTCAGGACAGTTAATTATTTCCTTCATTAGGCCTTTACTAATAGGCGAGTCACCTGTGGTACTACTTCCAGAAGGAGAAAGTAGCTAGATGAAATTCAGTTACCTATGGCGTAAGAGAATTTTGAACAATAGAGTATATCTCTACTAGTTCGTTGTGTTGGTGGTTTTTTAATATGCAAATACTGACACACACATATACCTATTTTTTAAACTGTGTATTATGGAAATGTTCAAAAGTACACAAAAATAGAACAGTATAATGAACTCTGGTGTCTTTCAATCTACCTTCAATAGTTGTAAGCATTTTGGGGATCTTGTGTGTATGTGGACTTTGAAAGTTTGTGAATCTCAAGGAGTTAAATAGCAAATTGCTGTATTCCTTTACCTCAAAACAGACTTGAAAACTTCTCACTTTTTTTTTCTTTTTCTAAACCTCATATATCTTGGATGATAAAGAGAAATCTGTGGTAGTGATATAGTCCATAAGTAGTTGTTCGTCTGTGAAACACAACATTCTTCTGGCAGGAGGAGGATTCCAACTCCTCTGTTCTTTAGAATGTCCTCTGTGGAGGTGGATGACCACACATGAGTCACCTGCATTTAATCATTAAGGAAAATCCAAGTTCTGTAGTAAAATATTTTGTTTACATGCTGCCTACACTGTAGGCCTGGTAGAGATTTTAAGGTTATTGCCTAAGTCCTTCATAGCTACTTTTTTGGGGTGGGGGCAGTAGGTGTCTGGGTAGAAGGAGAGGGAAAATCTGTTCAGTTTCACCTCCTCTTCACCATCCTTCTCTTCTCACGTAGAGTAGAGAAAATTGCTGAAGGGATTGGATTAGTTCTTTTCTTTCCATTCTCCCTTACAATACTTTTCAGGCTCCTCGCTGGCTATCTAGGGTCTTGGCCAGTCTTTAGAGAATCTTGGGAACTGAAATACTGGGAATCTGGTAAGCTAGTCCATTTCAGTGTTGTTAGTACTTCTGCACTTAAGTATTTCCTAATTGATTGGCCTTAGTCTCAGTTCTACTCAAAGAAAAAGATTAACTCATAATGAGTGTGATTTAAAACAGCTTATTACAATTTACTGTGGGCCAGGTGCTTTACGTATGTTTTTGAATTCTTCCCTCATCAGCTCTTTAATACATAGGTCTCATTTGATAGATGAGGAAACTGAAACACTGAAAGGTGAGACAGATTAGTGTTTCTTAGAATGGCAACACTTCTAGGAATACAACACACCTGTCTCTAGTTGAGGTAGTGTTCGCTTCCCTAAGCAGGTATTTGTAGCTTAGGCACAGCTTTCCCCAATGTAAGGGAAAATCATTTGTCCTGCTAAATAAGAGTGGTGAAACCTTGTTCAGATTTCACTTATTTACCATTCAAACAGCTTTTTAAAAACTGCTTAAAAAACGCCTTAAAAGTAAAAAAAAAATTTTTTTAGGTTTTTCACTCAGAATGTGGCTGCAGAAAATTGATTATAAACCTGGGTTTTTTTTTTACAATCAATATGTTGGATTAAAATTTATAAAATTGTGAAAAGTAGGATACAGACAAAAGAATATGTAATGAACTATTACAACCATATAAGCCCTGTGAAACTTCCATGTAACTTAAAGAGCTGGCATTGTTACTGGTATCACTGAATCCTCCTGTGTGCTCCTCCTTAGCCTTTCCTCACTGGATTTTCCGTTAGTAAGTTTAAACTATTATTCACAGCTTTCATAACTTTTTCCTGTTTTTCAGGCATTTTATTAAAATAGGTTATATTATTCTACTGAGTCTTTCTGATTCTGATTACATATTAGTTACTTTAAATGATAGTTTGTACTGTTAAAATTAAACAACCTCCCCTCCCCAAGAGTCGTCCAAATAGTAACTGGTAGAGCCATATAACTTCAGAGGTCTTTACAAAGTGTTGCCCCTAACTTTGCTAATGTAGCTTGACCTTAACACTGTTGTTAAAAATTTCTTTGGAATTTACCACCCTTGTAATTTCCTTTGCAAATCTGTTTTATAGATAAGTTTTAATTAATAGTACACCTGTGTATTCAAGTGTTTCAAACTTTTGGTCAACCTTTACAGTTTTCTTGTTGCAGTTTAAAACCATTTTATTTTTTCTCCATCTGTATGTTGAAGTAATTTGTCGTACTTTTAGACCCAGAATAATTAATGTATTGGGTTGTTTTCAGGAAGTTGCTTCTGAGTTTAAGGCTCCCACCAGGTATTTACAGGCATTCAATGAGACTTAATTCAAGAATAGTGTTTCCCATGGGCTGGTGACAAATACATGTTTTCATAAAATTTTTTCTTTAAAAAGTAACTATTAGTTGAAATATTAAAGCTTAGAAGATGGAATATAATTTTTCATTACTCATTATGTGGCATTTGATACAGGTTCTGCTAGATATTAATGGTGCAAACTCTTAATACCTACAGGAGCTGAGCAGATCACACAAAGGCATCGTCTGTATTGACTGTGTACAAAAAGTATACTTGTAGGGGCAGCTGCTGTTCCATTTTAGCTGGTTGTTGTCCTGTAGTGACATGGGCCCAGTGATGTCGTACCTTTTGATTTTTCAGGAAGAATTAGAAGTCTAGATTTTTAAAAAATAAAATTTTAAATATCAAAGTATTAAAAAATACTGTTTGGGACACACAAAATTGCAGGTAGTTTCTTTTTAAGCTTTTATATGAAAGGTACTCATCATTTTTCTATTTTAATGTATCTAGAATTATTTCCTCCTTAATACTTGACATCATAAATAAATTCCTGAGTAATTTATTCTAGAAACTTGCTTGTTAATGGGCTCCCCCCCACATCAGTTTGTGTGTCATTCTATAATAGAAAACTCAAACTGGTTTAAACACAATGAAAAGGATTTTTAGGCTCATTTATCTGGAAGTCCAAAGGTAGGGCAAGATTTACAGTAACAATAACATTAAAGACCAGTTTCTTTCTGTTGCTTTTCTTCTCTCTGTGATGTCAGCTTCCATCTGTTGCTGTTCCCCTCATGGTTGTAGGATGGCTGCCACTGGCAGTTGGGTCCCTGTGTATTCTTGTTCACATCTCTTAAGAGAGAGAGTCTCTCTGTCCTAACCTTCCAGACAAGAGTCTTGATCAGTCCACTGCACTCTTGACTGTGGCCATTGAAATGTGCTGTTTGGCTTAAGCAAATCAGGACCAGCTGCTCTACCTGAGGATGGGGTCAGTTTCCTCTAAAGAACTTGGGCTGTGTGGGGACGATTGAATACACAGACGTCTGTAGGAAGTTCGAAGGGTGCATGGATGCTGGATAGGCCACCAGTGATGTCCACTATTCTTTTTTCAAATGCATAATAATACTCATGTTAGAGATGTTTGTGTAAAGAGAAAAAAAAATCATTACCTTAACTCTCTTTTGTGCTCTTGAGCAATTTTTTTTAACCTCTTTGTGCCTTACTTTCCCCAGCTGTACAATGGGGAAACTACATTGTAGCAAAGATTAAATGAGTAAATACTTGTAAAGCATCCAGGAATAATGTGTGGCACATTAAGTGCTTTTATAACTATTTGCTATTATTGTAATATTTGTAATTTTACATAGTTACAATCATCATATTACAACCTATTAATTTTTTTGTTTCTATATGGCCATTATTAGCTGTAATGGCTCTTTAATATACTATGTCAGTCTTACTTTGGAATTTATTTAATACCTTTTATCATTTTTAGAGATCACTTTTTAATTGACGTAGAGGTGACTTGTTTTTTAAACATCTTTTTTTAGGTCTAATTTACATACCATGAAATCCTCTTGTTTTAAGTATACAATTCAGTGATTTTTGTAAGTTTCCAGAGTTGTGTAATCATTACGACAGTCTAATTTTAGAACATTTACATCCTGTGTTCAAG